ACCGTGCTGAGAAAACAGTGCCTGAGCCCAAGCTGTGGTCACAGAGAACCTCAGCCTCGGCCCTTCGAGTAACCTAGGCGGTTTCTCTCCTGGGTCCCCACAAAACTAAGCCGTGGATAATAGAGGGGGCCTTGCAGCTCCCATTCACACCCTGATGACTCCAGAGCTCTTCCCGGAGCACCAGGATTTCCACATGGCCGTCTGGCGTCATCTCACGTCTGACAACTGCACAGCTGAACTGAGTCCCATCTGGCTAACCCTGCTTCTGCCTCGGGGTCCCAGCCATGAGAAGGCACTAACCAGCCGGCCGGTGGTGGCGCATGCCTTTAATCTCAGCACTCGGGAGGCAGAGGCAGGCAGATCTCTGTGAGTTTGAGACCATCCTGGTCTACAAGAGCTAGTTCCAGGACAGGCTCCAAAGCTACAGTGAAACCCTGTCTCAAAAAACTGAAAAATTAAAATAAAAAAATTAAAATTCTCTGTCTCAAGGGAAAAGGGAGGAAAGCCTTTAGGCCATTCCCTGACCATCCTCCTCTGACCTCTCAGGAATGGAACCTACACCAGCACACACAGGTGCATACTCACATTCACAAAAAAATACTATATGTATATACATGTAGTATATATACATACTATATAGAGATATACATACACAGAGAGAGAAAGAAACAGGAATTATCTCTGAGGCTTTACCTTTCTTGGACATTTTGCTTCTTACTTCCTAGTTCATTTACACAAATCCAACTAGGAAACTTGCCCACAATGTGTTTTCTAGTCACTGGGCACGGTGTTGCACACCTGTGACCCCAGCACTGGGGAGCTGGAGGCAGGAGGAGCTCAAGGCTGGTTTGGCTGCAGTTGTCTGGGGACAGCTGAGGTTCTTCTTCTAGCCTCTACCTTCTAAGCACTGGGCTGTCAGAGACAGGTCACCAGTCCAGCTCTCAAGGCTATCTAGTTGTCCAAGGTCAACCTGGCTGTCTTGAGACCTTGTCTTGGAGAACAAAAGCCAACACCCCATGAGAGGGAGTTGGAAGGAGTGGAAGCTTCATTTTGTTCTTACCGTCCTCAAACTGTCTAAAGAACACAGCCCACAGAGTAATAAAAACACTACTGATAGCAGCCCCACAAGGGGCTGGAGAGAAGACTCCCTGGCTAAGAGCACTGGCTGCTCTTGTAGAGGACCCAGCACCCACCCAGCAGCTCATAACAGTCAGTAATTCCAGCTCCAGGGGCTCTGACGCCCTCTTCTGGATTCTGTAAGTGCTTCACACAAAGCACAGGCGTGTGCAGGCAAGCCATCTGTACACATAAAATATTAATAAATAAATCTTTTTAAAATTAAATAGGGGCTGTAGAAATGGCTCAGTGGTTAAGAGAACTGGGTGCTCCTCTATGGGACCTGGGTTCAGTTCCCAGCATTCACATGGCAGCTCACGGCTGTCTAGAACTCCAGTTCAGGGCTCCATGGCCCCAGGCACACGTGTGGTGCACATATATGTATGCGGGCAAAATATCCATACACATAAAATAAATAAAACTTTTTAAAATTAAGATAGATTGTGTCTGGCCCGAGGAAGGGAATGAAGAGAAAGTCACTTTGCTTGATCTCTTTAACCATCGGGGAGGAGGCACATGCTGTCCCTGGGGAGCAGGTGGCACAGCCTGGGGAGCTGAGGGGAGCTCAGTCATGAGAACTCAGTTTCAGGAGCAGCTAGTTTCACACATGTGCACACTAGGGTAAATCCTGGCCAGAATGAGCAGCTGCTGCCAGGCAGTCCCGGGAAGGTGAGAACCCCAGGCTCAGACAATATCCTGGCTCACTCCTCAGCAGGGCTGTCTGCTAGGGATGCCATCCAAACATGGCTCTGTGGGAAAGCTCCTGCCATTAGCTTAATAAGCACAAAATGAGACGCTTCTCAAATACTGTTTTTCACTTATCAGATTGGCAGGAGATTAAAACACATGGTTCTGGCTACAGTGTGGGAAAAGCGGGCTCTGTTTTCTCCTGGAGGGAGGCTAATGCGCTACAACGCTAGCAAGGGCATTTGGCAGAGGCCGCTGCCTCAAGCAGCTCAGGTTGCTGGAACACAGCTCGTCCACCTCAGTGGGACCTGGAAAACTGAATTCTTACAGGTTCTGAGGCTTGGAGGCCGACATCCAGGCAGACTGGTGTCCAGTGAGGGCTTGCTTTCTGGTTCACAGCGGGTGCCTGCTCTGTCCTCATGCTGCAGAAGGGTCTGGACAGGTACCACTTTCTGTTTTTGAGAGTGCATGAGGTAGAACCAGGGACTTGCACATGCCAGGTAAGTACGTGCTCCACCGCTGAGCTGCAGCCCTGCCCCATCAAGGGCCTCTATTGTAACAGTTGTAATCTCATGAAGGAAGCCTGGGATCTGGTGACCTCATCGCCTCTCTAAAGTGTTATAATACCACCCTCTTGGCAATGGGTTAGGACACAAGCATTCACCCTCTGAAAACCAGCACTGGGCTGAGAGATACCTCAGCAGTTAGGACTACTTGCTGCTCAGTCCTGAGGATGGGAGTCCAGATCCCAGCACCCACAATCCAGCAGTTCACAAATGCCTGAACTGCAGCTCCAAGGGCTCTGACGCCCACTTCTGCCCTCAACAGGCATGTGCATGCACGCAGGCACACATACTCACACAGATACACATATAAATGATGATGACTATAGAAGTCATGCTCCATATATTCTGGGATAAGAATTCTGCTTCTAGGAAGCTGGGTCCAGATATACTAGTAAAATGACACCATGCTATCATGGCATTGCTTACTGAACACATCCCCAATGTAAACAACAGCCAACACACTCTGCAGCCACTAAAGCCAATGAGGATGTTTTTCTGTAGCAGGAATGATCTCTAAAAAATACTAATGGGGGTGGGGTGAGGTGGTGCGGGAATAGAAGTGTCGAATAAGCCAGGCGGTGGTGGCACACACCTTTAATCCCAGCACTCGGAAGGCAGAAGCAGGCGGATCTCTGTGAGTTCGAGGCCAGCCTGGTCTACAGAGTGAGTTCCAGGACTAAGTAGTCTCAAAACAAAACAAAAACAAACAAAACAAGAATGAAGACATGACAAAGAACATCTTGGGCCAGGTGCAGGCCACCATCCGCAACCTTCGAACTTAGGAGGTGATGCCAGAGGGTTCTCGGTTCAAAGGCATCGTCTCACCTCCAACTGAGGACAGAAATTACAAAAAAGTATATCCTGGTTTCTGATCAAAATGCAAATCCCTGGTGAGGCCCCCAAAGCTCGGGTCTGTGTCCAGCCTTGTCTTCACAGTCAGTCCTCGCCACTCACTCACATTGTCGGCACCTCTCTGCCTAGAAGATCTGTCCTTCCCTCCTCCCTCCCGCTCTCCTTCCTTCTGTCCTTCCTTTTTTTCTCCTTCCTCCCTTCCTTCCTTCCGTCTTTCCCTCCTCTTTCCTCCTTTCTTTCTTCATTTTTCCTTCCTTCTTTCCTTCCTTCCTCCCTCCCTTCCTTCCTTTGACTGAAGTCCCACTCAACTGTCACCAGCCCCAGACAGAAAGGGACTGTGCAGCCTCCTCTGAGATGCCAGGCACAGATGCCACCACACGCTGCAGTTATTAGATCCCCATGTAGCATAAGCATACACTTATTTATGACAGTCACAAACAGGGAACACTTGACTCCACTCAAACGGAACCACAGTAAGACGGCTTCTACTATCAGACCAGTAAATTTCCACAAGTCTCAAGACAATGGCAAGGTAAGGAAGCAGGCACTCAGTGGGAGTGGGCATTGACACAAAATCAGACAACAGGTGGCCTGTTTCACAAGCACATGCAGCAAGTGACAGACACAGAGCTATTCACTGAATGGACACACACAATCAAGAGGGGGGCTGGAGAGATGGCTCAACAGTTAGGAGCACTTGTTGCTCTTACAGAAGACCCAGATTCTGGGAGACGGCTCAGAGGTTAAGAGCACTGGTTGCTCTTCACAGAGGTTGTGAGTTCAATTCCCAGTAACAGAGGACTCAGATTCAGTTCCTAGCACCCCACATGGTGTTGTTTCCCAACCATCTATAACTCCAATTCTAGGGAATCTGACGCCCTCTTCTGACCTCTATGGGTACTGTGTATGTGTGAGCGTGCACCCATACACACATATAAGCAAAATACTCCTAAATAAAATGAAATAGATGAATATTTAAAATTAAAAAAGAGCACGTATTGCTTGCTCTTCCAGAGGATCCAAATTTGGTTGCCAGCATCCGTGTTAGACAGTTTACAAATTGCCTGTATCTCTAGCTCCAGGGGATCTGGTGCCCTTCTCTGACTGCTGTGGGTACCCATCTCACAAGCACAGACCCCTCCACCCAACACATACACACTTAAAAACAAATCTTTTTATTTATTTTGAGACAGGGTCTCTTTACAGAGACCTGGCTATCCTGGAACTCTCTATGTAGACCAGGCTATCCTCAAACTCACAGAGATCCACCTGCCTCTGTCTCCCAAGTGCTGGGATTGAAGACATGTACTATCATGACTGGCTTTAAAAAAAAAAAAAAAACAAAGGTGCAAAGGACCTGTCTGTCACCTGAGCTCTGAAAGAGGAGTGAAGAAAGAGGCCTGTGTCACAGCACTGCGTTTTCATGAACCAGAAAGAGATTCTTTATTACTCACATGGAAGACACACTAACTATTAAGAGAAAGCGTGGTGTTTACACATGCTATAAAAGGGAGCGATATACATATGTGTTTGATGCATACAAGAATACATAAAGTCATAGCGACTTATCAGTAAGCCCCATGGTTGAGACTCTAAGATGTGGGAGGAGGAAGATACTTGTTATGTGTATTACTAAATATATCTATTTCTGTCTTTTAAATTTTTTTACTATATACATATATTATCTAGTCACAATTAAATTACTGATAACAAAGAAAAAACAATAAGGTAAACAAAGTGTAGATGCCCCTAAGCCATTAGCACCAAGAGAGGAAATACCTTGAACTTGTTCCCAGCGCCAGAAGAGTCCATGACAAAACTTCACCTGTAGCCTGGTTCCGCCACAATTGCAACTAGGCCATCGAAGATGATGTTCAGAGAGTCAAGCACTTGCTTCAGGGTAAGCCTGAGAGAGACAAGAACGATGACAAGCCTGGAAAATTCAGAGGTAGCAATAAATGACAAGGCTCGGGCTCTTGTTCCTACTAAGACACCTAGAAGACTCTGAGGACCCTGGCGGGCCCTGGACACACCCCTGGGCTGGAGCTGTCACTCACAAGCCCAGCATGCACAAGGCCCTCAACCTTATCCCCAGTTCCAGAAAAGGAAGGAGGATTGCAGAAAGTCCATGGAGGCCCTGATGACCCTGAGGATGAAGGCGTGTGGTGCTTCCAAGGGCATGGGAAGGCTCGCCAGCCCCAGCCACCCCTTTCCTGGGGTGGTCCTGATTTGGAGATGACAGAAACGCTCCAGCCCTCCTCCTTAGCCTGGTACAATCTGGTTTTATAAGGGCATAGGCTCCTCAGAGATGTTACAAGAGGAACAAGAGCCTCGGGGCCAAATGGGACTGAGGCTCAGGCCTCTCAGGCTGGCTCCATCCAGCTGTACCTCCCCCGCCCTCCCCTGATCTGCTTCCTCACCTCTCCCAATGCCCCACTAGCCAACCCCACTCCTGGAGATCTCAGCAGACCTCCAGGCCACAGGCCAGCCCTCCACTCACACCTCTTGGTCAGAGAGGCAGACCAGGTTCCTGTGTTTATCCATCTCCCTGGCAACACGAGCCTCCACAGGACGGTGTCATCCAGGTATCTAGGTTAATGTTTCCTGCCTCTCCTTAGGTACAGGTACGTTCTGGCTCTCTGGCGCTGGGACCAATCTACCCCCAGTTCCTGCATGACCCCCCTACCCTACCATGAATTATAACTGGCAAATTCCAAACTCTGTGTGGAATGTTCTTCACATTCCCTCTTACCCTAATGCTCCCAGGCCTACCCATGATCCCCTGCCTACCCATCCCTCTGAACACACCCCAAACCCTTGTCAAGTGGTGCCACTCCCGACCCTGCCACTCTCCTGCCTCTGACCACGACTGTGGCTGTGTGCGCTGCTCCCTTTCCACAGAGACAGCAGCATTTCGTGCTCTGTTCGACTAGAACTTTCTTTTCAGGCCACTTTTTAAAAAGGTGCAGCTCCTCAGCAACCCCTGCCACCCGATTTTGTGGTGCGTGCTACCGTTATCTGCCCTGCCAAGAAGGCAGCCACTCATGACCTGCATCGCCAGGTCTCTAGTCCTTTGTCAGAGATCCTGAAGGACGTGGGTGGCGGGCAGGACAGCTCCTCTGACTGGTCCCTGCTTGGCTTCTGTGCGGGATCTGTGCACACTGCCTGCTCCCCGTGTTATTAGCCCAGACTCTGCACACTACCTGCTGTGGCTCTCACTTGTCCCCGTCCTCCAGGTACCCAGCACTATGAACAGTCCTGCTTTCCCGCCCAGGTTCACCACCCGACACTCCGTGTGTGTGTGTGTGTGTGTGTGTGTGTGTGTGTGTGTGTGTGTGTGTGAGCTGTCCATCCCTGGGCCCACACTACGCTGTTTGCCAGTGTCTGTATCCATATGGTCACCACAGACGCCCAGTGGCTGTTTGCCAAATGGGAGCCTGGAGATGGGAAGAGTAAAATGGGGGAGAAGCTGAAGGGCTGGAAGGAGAGGCAAACGTCAGGAGTGAACTGCAGACCCAGAAGCTGGGTAAAGGCTTTCTCCTTGCAGGGCAGGAAGCCCGTCTGGCACCCCTTCACAACTTAAAATGGGCTTAGTCTCGGTTTGTGTATCTTGTTTTGTGTATTCATTGTGAATGAATTCCCTGGAGGCGGGAGCTATGTCTGTCTTGTTCACCACTGTACCCTCAGAGCTGGCACAGTGCCACCTGGCATGCACAAGAGTTCCAGATCATGTTTGCTAATAAATGAAAGGAGGCTGAGTGACCCACAAGAATACAGAACTGACAGGGCACCTGATTGGCACTTGGGCCAGTTTGGACTCAGGATAGAAGTCTCTGGGAGAATCTGCAGTCTTACTGCAGGGGCACAAATGGGGTACAAAGGCTGGGAAGAGCAAGGAGCCCCAAATATTTGGGGGAGGCAGCATCACTGGTGAGGAAGGCAGCTTGGTGACTGTCCAGATGTTAATGAACAGTCAGGCAATGGTTGTGCACGCCTTTAATCCCAGCACTCGGGAGGCAGAGGCAGGTGGATCTCTGTGAGTTCGAGACCAGCCTGGTCTACAAGAGCTAGTTCTAGGACAGGCTCCAAAGCTACAGAGAAACCCTGTCTCAAAAAAAAAACAAAAAAAAAAAAAAACAAAAAACAAAACAAAACAAAACAAAAAAAAAAGATGTCAATGAACAAGCCCCTGGCCTGGCCCTACCCAGAGGACTTGGAAGCGAGTCCGTGCTGCCCAGCCTGCACCCTGCCCCAAAGTCAGCAAGAGTGGTGTGTCTGGGTGGGTTAAGTCAAGATAAATCTGATCATGTACTATGCCCAGCATCCGGAAGGCAGAGGCAGAAGGATCTCTGTGAGTCTGAGGTCGGCCTGGTCTACAGAGTTCCAGGACAGCCAGACAGGACTACATGGAGAGACCCTCGTTGGAGCCCACAGATGTGGATTTGTTCCCTCCACATCAGAGAGTTCAGGCCTATTCCTTCTCCTTCAAGGTTATTGAGAGGAGGTTTGACCCAGGGTGTGGCTACTGTTGGGCTGTTTTGACCTAGGGTGTGGTTACTTGATGCTCTGGGTATTGAGAAAGTGAAGACTTTGTTTATTCCTTGCTTCTTGGTAAAGAAGTCTTTTGTCTTCCCCCTCCTCTTTGGATTGAGGTCTAGAAAGCCTATGAGAAATAAACACAGGTGGATTCAGTACTCACTGGGTTGCCCTCCTGACTCTGTCCTGTGTCTCTGTCTATTTCTTTTGTGTCTTTGTTTCCTTCTGTCTAACATCTCTAATCCACATGCCCCTGCCCTGGAACAATGCACGAACCTGTCCAGGCTGGACCCCGACAGACACTATTTAAAAAAAAAAAAATAGTATAACCAGATGGCCTGGTACAGAGAACACTGAGGCCAGCTGGGAGGTAATGGTTGGAGGTAGAGGAGCAGAGAGCCACATCCCTGAGGTCAGAAGTGGTACTTCCAGGACACTTCCTGGCTGGACAAGCTCAAGGGAAAAGCCATCAAAGGAAAGGAAGACCAAGCTGTTGAACAAGGACAGGTGGGTGTAGACAGAAAGCGAAGGAACATCAAAGAGGAAGTAGCCACTTACTGGCCTAACAACAGAGGTTGTGGACTGACCCGGGCGCCTGAAGGGCAGGGCAGGTGTTCACCACTGTGCAGTAGCTTGCTGTCTGTCCCAACAAGACTTTCCTGAGCACTCCCTGAAGCTTCGTTAGTGACAGGTTCCATTGCCCACAAGCCCATCAGTTCCTTCCGAGGTGAAAAGCCCCTCGATTCTAACTTAGGCCAGGGCCACTCAGCTAAAGCTACACGCCCTCACTCCCTTCACAACTAGGCAACCCTATGTTTGGGGTGGCGCAGCTTCTGGGTCTCACTCAGAAGAAAAACCAAGGTTCCCCAGCCTCTTCACTCCTCGTTCCCAGGAACATGCACTCAAGAAATGGCTTCTACCTCCCATCCTGTGACTGCAACCAGAACCCCAGGTGACAAAGGAACCAGGAAGAGGGGAAGCCACAATGCACAGTCCAGTCACTGCTAGCTGCACCTTTCACGGGAAGCAGATGTTTCATTTCTGTGTGGAGGGTGTATCTGTGTGACGCTTGTGTGTCTGTCTGTGTGGAGGGGGCATACACATATGTGTATACTCATGTGTGTGTGCGCAGATGTGCATGTCGTTTGAGGACAGGGACTACATATTCCAGAACGGCCTGCCAGGCTGGGGCCGTGTCCAATTTCTCTTCCCACCAGTGGGCCATCAGTGTGTGGCTGTGTGACAGAATCACTGAATATATGGTACCAGTGCATTAGGACAGAATACCAACCACTGGGAGGCAAGAGCATCCAAGGGAAACATGGACTGTGGAGCAGAAGGCCTGAGTACCACTACAGGGACTGAGCAGGGAAGTCCATGTCCTCAGCTGCAGACTGTAAGAACATTTGTTTTAAGAACATTTGTTTTAAGAACATATGTGAGGGCTGGATAGATGGCTGAATGGTTAAGAACACTGACAGCTCTTCCAGGTCATGAATTCAATTCCTAGCAACTGTATAGTGGCTCTTAGCCATTCATAGTGGGGATTTGATGCCCTCTTCTGGCATGCAGGTGTACCTGCAGATGGAGCATCACATACATAAAATAAATATCTTTAAAAAAAGGGTCTATATGAGGATTCATGAGTTAGTATGTGTGAACAGAACTGTGGCTAGCAAGAGCCTTAGCTTTTATTGAGATGGGAGTGTAGTTCAGTGAAAGGGCCCCAGGGTACCCCCCCCCCCCAAACACACACACCTGAGAAAAACAGAAAACTAGAACTGAATACATCTCTTGACTTCAGGGCCAGCCTCATCCACGTCATAAGATCGAGCCCAACCAGGGCTACAGAGTGAGACCCTGTCTCCAAAAGAAGGGGATGGAAGGGCAGCTAGAGATGGCTCAGGGGCTAAGAATGTGACTGCTTTTCCCGAGAACACGGGTTCCCAGCACCCATATCTGGCAGCTCACAATCTCTTTTTTGTTTTTTCCAGATAGGGTTTCTTGAGACAGGGTTTCACTGTGTAACCCTGGCTGTCCTAGAATTTACTCTGTAGACCAGGCTAGCCTCAAGCACAGAGATCTACCTGCCTCTGCCTCTTGAGTGCAAGGACTAAAAGCATGCACCACTGCTTGGCTCACAATTTCTTACAAATCCACCTGCTGGGAATCCAGTGCCCTCTTCTAGACTTCAAGGGAACCTGCCCTTTGATTCTGGCATTCAGGAGGCAGAGGCAGGCAGATCTGAGTTTAAAGGAGTTCCAGGCCAATCAGGGACACACAGTGAGTCTCCTTTCACACAGTGTAGAGGGAAACAGATAAATTAGAACTGACCAGGTATTAGGTGTTGGAGTTTTGTGTTTGAAATTGTATAGGTGGGGCCTGAGGGCTGTGAGCACGGCTATCTCGGAAGCCTGTGCACAGCTGGTGACCACAGACTTATTTCATTCATTCATTTTTTTCTTTTTTAAATATTTATTATGCATACAATATTCTGTCTGTATGTATGTCTGCAGGCCAGAAGAGGGCACCAGACCTCATTACAGATGGTTGTGAGCCACCATGTGGTTGCAGGGAATTGAACTCAGGACCTTTGGAAGAGCAGGCAATGCTCTTAACCACTGAGCCATCTCTCCGGCCCCCCCCCTTTTTTTTTTTTTTTTTTTTTTGGTTTTTCGAGACAGGGTTTCTCTGTGGCTTTGGAGCCTGTCCTGGAACTAGCTCTTGTAGACCAGGCTGGTCTCGAACTCACAGAGATCCACCTGCCTCTGCCTCCCAAGTGCTGGGATTAAAGGTGTGCACCACCATCGCCCGGCTCCATTCTTTTTTTTTTTTCTTTTTCTTGCTTATTTTTGTTCTTTAGAGACAAGGTTTCACTACGTAGCTCTGGTTGTTCTGGAACTCATTATGTAGACCAGGCTGGCCTTAAGCCCAGACACCCACTTGCCTCTGCTTCCCGAGCACTGGAATGAAAGGTGTGTGCCACCGCACCAGACTCACAGGCTTCTAACAGCCCTATGAAATCACAGGCCCAGCAGCACAGCCACAACATGAAAAGCCACTGCACACAAAAGGAAAACAAATAAACTGGGCATGCTGGCACATGCCTTGACCCCAGCTTGCGGAGGCTGGGGATCTCTTTTGAGTTTGAGGCCAGCCTGGTCTACAGGGTGAGTTCCAGTCCAGGGCTACCAATGAGACTCTGTCTTAAAAACAAATACAAAAAAATGAAAAAGAAAAACAGACTGTTGACACAACCCCCTGAGATGAATGGGTCTCAGGACAGCGTAGAAAGAAGACAGCCACCCAGCCTTCACAGGTGACCTGGATGGAGCGCCAGTCCATCCAGAGAGGAGACTGTGTAGTTATGAAGAGAAGCATGGGGAAGGTGGTTCACAAGCCTGCATGACAAAGTAAATACATTCCCAAAATCTTTATTATGGGGGCTGGAGAGATGGTTCAGTGGTTAAGAGCACTGGCTGCTCTTCCAGAGGCCCTAAGTTTAATTCCCAGCACCCACATGGTGGTTCCCAACCACCTGTCATGAGATCTGGTGCCCTCTTCTGGCCTGCAGGCACACATGCAGGCATAACTCTGTATACATAATAAATTAAAATCTTTTATAAAAAAACAGTTTGTATTATGAATTTGATTAGACTTTTCATAAATCACTTTATTTTTCCCTCTAAGACTCTCCCAACTTATAAAAAATAGAAATCTGTAGATATACATTGAGAAATCTACACTTCAACACACCACCACTCAGGCCATCTCTGTTCTAAGAGCAATCACAGTGGTGCAGTTCTGCGGTCGAGGGCAGCAAGAGCCCCCTCAGCTCACACAACACGCTCCACAGGCTTGGCTTCAGGCGGTGACATGGTGCATAAGTACAGACACAGACACGCTGGCTAGAAGCATCAGGAACAGCAAGGTGTGGCAGCTCCTGTTAGACCCTGGGACTGGATTCCAACTGACTGGGCCAGGAGCTGCCAATTACATCACAAGCTCCCAGAATCCACACAGCCCGGTCTTCTTGTTCTGACCTGGAAGTTCTGAGTCACCATGAAAATACTCCTGTTTGGACCAGAGCCAAAAAGGCTCACTTTCTCACCACCTCTTGTTCTTTCTTCAATTCCAGACACAGAGCTTTTTGTTTGTTTTGTTTTGTTTTTCCTCCAGGCAAAGGGACCAAAGGTTCTAGAGAACAGCAAGGAAGGTTGATCCCCCCAGCCAAGTTACTGGAAGCCAGGCATGGTGGTTCACGCCTGTAATCACAGCACGTGGCAGGAGGATCACTGAGCCTGGCATACAATGATTTCTGGGATAGCCTGGGCTACAGAGTGAGCTCCTGTCTCAAAAACACGTGGCACAGGGTAAGAGAGTGAGAAAAAAGAGGAGGAGGAGGAGAAGCAGCAGCCAGGGTGGAGTACAGAGAGAAAAATTATAGTGGGTTCAGCACTCCAATCCAAGGACGACTTATCCACTTTATGTCAATTTCCACGTGCCCCTGCCACTCTTCCTTGGATTTGGTTTTTCAATCCCTCTTTTCAAAACAAGCCAAAGACCTCAACTTTCTCTTTGAGGTATCATGTGGCACGATTAGTGGGAAGTGAGGGATGGTGTCTTCTCTCCAGGGAGCTGGGAGTGGGCGGATTCAGACTTGCTTCTTGACAGGCACACACTCCCTCCAGCGAGTGGGAATGTGGCTTTCCACCATCAGCTGGATTTCTCAGCTAAGCCTAGCCCTCAAAACAAGTCCCAGCCCCAGCTGCTAAGCTCTCTCCCTGGTGCTTAAAATCCATGGCTCCTCTATCAAGTCCTGGGAAAACTCTATCCTTCCCAAAAGGGTGCTCTGAGGCCCACGTTCCAAGGGGGATGACCCCACTGTGGTCAGCTTTAATCAAATGCTAGTCAGAGATTCAAGGCTCTGGTGGTCACCGTCATTATCTTTATTAACCCATGTACTCCTAGCTCCTGCCAGCCCCAGATCAGAGTTGCAGCATGGGTCTGTTTCCAACATGATGAGGGATACAAAGTCACTGTCTACCAGCCCAGCAGGGATCTTGGGGCCCAGGTGTAGAGAGAAGTGAGAATGAGGTTCTGGGCTGTAAATCAATGCCATGATTCTTGTGGATAACGAGGGGGATCTGGAAGATACACTTGGCAGTCTTCCTGGCAGGGCACAGAGCAGTGGACCCTTTCCTTCCTAACAATTTCCCTGGCCCTCCAGGTTTCAAAGGAATCAAGTCCTGTGATGAATTAATGAAGTCACCAGCAGACTCCGGCCTGTTTGCAAACAGGGTTGCCTTCATAGAAGGCTACTGCTAAAAAGACACAGCCCGGGCAAGGCCAAAAGCGCGCCACCTTCTTCTTCCCTCTGATCTCAGGCCCCAGGAAAGCGGTGTCCTCTCACTTACAGGGCAGCTTCCTTCTCAGCTCACGAGAGGGACCTAGAGAGAAGAAGAACCAGAGAGCCTGCCCCGGGGCCCCTCTCACTCTCCCAGGGGAGCACAGCTCTGGGCTCACAGGGTTGCCTTGGCACAGGCACTGAAGTGCAGCTGCTGCACGTGGGAGCCAAGGAGAGACAGGCAGGCAGAGGAAGATGACTCCCTCTTGCCCTAGGAGTGCTCACCAAGCTCATGCCCGCTGGTGAGCCTATTCCTACCAAGGAGCAGACAAGCAGACTGGAGCAGGCTCTGGACCCCAGCCTCCAACTCACTTCTTCCTGCGGATCTTGGGCTTCTTCACAGGGCGCAGATATGGGTTATCGATGATGCTCTCCTCCCCGTTCCGGCTGCCAGACAAGGAGGAGTTCTGCTGCAGGACAGAAGCGTTTTCCTTCTCAGCTCCGGGGCCATCCTTTGAGCAAAAGCCGAAATAGAGCAGAGCACCAGTAGCATGAGGAGAGAGGCTGTGCCCATAGCAAGAGCCGGCTTTGGTGTCATGAGGAGAGAGACTGTGCCCATAGCAAGAGCCGGCTTTGGTGTTTACTGAGAAAGGAGAAGCCGGAGCCACTGACTTTCCAGGGTGGCCATCTCTGCCCCAGGCTCAATGGGACCTGGGCAGTGGCTGGCTCTACAGGGAGCTGACAAAGTAGGGTGCTCCAGATCCTGACTCTTCAGAAGGTGGGGATGAGACAATGCAGGCCTGGGAGTGAGGGTTAGAATTTACACGCTGCAGGGAGGAAGCCTAACCCGATGGGGTAACAGAAGGAAGGCCGTCGGTACCTTGGAGTAAGAGACACAGAGCCAAAACAAACCAGGGCACAGGAGAGCTCTCCTAGGCCCAAAATAACATAAATCCCAACACATTTCTCTGAAGTCTCTCATTTCTGGCACTTGGAACAAGGGACCAATGACCGTATTCCAGCATATTCCAGAAGTGAAGGCAAAGCGGAGCCTGCAGACCCCACAAGTTCACATTGTCACTGTCAACGAGGCTCTTAGAGTGTCCTGGATGTATGGGTAATTGATTCTCCTTGCCTTATTAATACTTGTACTCTCCTTATTTTCCACACTCTTTGCCTTTAATTTATTTTTGTGCTTCTTTAAAGTGAGCAGTGGCAGGAGGGTCAGGACATGAAATTTCACACCAAAAATCTGACGTGGCCATGCAGGCCTAGCGACCAGGCGCTGAACCAGCATGGCCCCCAGTGACACGCCAAGGGTTCCCTGGAGGAACTGAGAGCCTCAGACCCCAACTAGCAGTGGCTGCTGTCACTGTGATACTGTGAACAGAGGATTCCTCTCGGGATAGTTGGCCTCGAGCTTACTGGCCTGAAGGCTCTGGATGGCTTCTAGAGGTTTTGCTACATATCCATACCACCCCATTAACTCTGTTCTCCCCAAAAAAGCCATTTTCCTGTAGAACACATGCTTCATTTCTCCCGCACTCACACTAAACCCAACGAGTGGACCTACAGCCATCAGAGAATCCCTCTTCAAAACAACTGCCACCAGACCAGCTGCGCTCATGTGGGACCAGGTGTGGGAAGTCTGTGTGGACACCCAGCTCCTGGCCTGTCTTAATTCTTTTTGTTGTGTTTTGTTCTTCAAGACAGGGTTTCTCTGTGTAACATCCCTGGCTGTCCTGGAACTCATTTTATAAACCAGGCTGGCCTTGAACTCACAGAGATCCTCCTGCCTCAGCCTCCCTGAATGCTGGAACTGAAGGTGTTGCCTCAGTTCTTAAGGGTACAACAGAGTATCACCTATCATTCCCTCCATCGACCACTGCTTCACATCCAAACTCCACCAATGCTCAGAGGCCACTTAGACTGTGCCTTACACATGTCCTCAGGTAACAGTGAGGGTGACGTGAAGGGCTGAAGGGTTGGCTCCAGCTCCCACAAAGGCAGGATGCTGGACACTGTGGAAATGTATACTCTGGTCCCCTTCAGGTAGCTTTGAGACAGGAAGTAAAGCATCCAATTGACTTAACTACTTGTAGAAAAAGTGAGGGGTTTGCACGAGTTCCTTGGGCACTTGGGCAAGGCTGGAGGACACCAACAGCCCTACCTGTCTCACGACTGTCCATTCCACTTCTAAGCCAACAGCTCCAAGTCAGACTCCAACCATATCCTCTCTCACCGCCAGTTCCCTGTTCAGATTCCCAGCTGCTTGCTTGACAGCGTCATAGACGCATCCCATAGGCACCTCACATTCAATGTGCCTCAGCTTCCTCAGGTACCCTAACCTTAGTCCTCCCATTGTGGTGACAACGTTACCATCCTTCAGGTGCTTGAGCAGTGAGTTCTGCAATCCCACCTGCTTCTTTTCTGTCACTCAATTCTCATCTGTTAGAGGGACATCATCTTGGCTTTACCTATCAATGCAACCAGACCATTTCCACTTTCCCTGCCATGCGTACCGAGGAGAAGGACCCCCATCTCTCCCTGGCCTACATCACTGTGGCAGCTTCCTAACAGAGAAACACTCCCTCGGGCTCGCTCACACAACAGCCACTGGTGATGCGTCCAGAAGTTCAGAAATGTCCCTCCTTGGCTCCACGCCCGCCTGCAACTTATCTCACCCGGCTCTGGAAACAGTTGGTCCCATTAGACTGGCCCTTCCTCTCCCTTCTCTGTCCTGGCTCTCCATCCCAAATGCTGGTGTTTCTCAGGTCCTCTGCACCAGCCGTTACTTCTACGAGGACCCTCTTGCCCAGAGAGTGGCATAGTTCCCCTGTCCTCTCCCCTATGCCCCTGGCTTAGTGGTCCACTTTGAGCGCGCTACTCCTGAGAAGCACAGCCTCCATCTCACCAGGTGCTGCTCTCTCCATGGCACTTTCATCTTGAATACTCGGAGTGAAGACTTCCTTCTCCCACTGCACATACTGGCTCTCAAAGGCAGAGACTTTATCTATGGGGTCACTGCTTTCCTCTCTGCAGCCAGAACAGTGTCTGACAATGGTCACTGCAAAACGGGTGCTCACTGAGTGGATGACTGGCGCGGTTTCTCATCCAAGAGTAAAAAAACTTGTTCAAATGTAGGAGAGAACAAAAAACAATTAACCACTCTAAAACTAATGGTTCCTTTATGTTTAAGGACCTGGAGAAAGGGGCCAGGGTTAAAGTGCCCCATAGCAAGAGTCCCTGAGAGACACACTGACATCAGGAGATAAGAGGGCAGTTTAAAACTGGTCACTGAGTGAAGCGTGATTGTGTATCCTGATGCAATCCCAGCACCTTGCAGGAGGCAGGATCGGGATTCTTAACACATGATTACATTTTGCAGGCCACCAGAATATAACAAGTCCAAATAACTGTCTTTTTTAAAAAAATATACTTTGTATAGAAGAGTGTGTGGCTGTATGGCTGTACAGTCTCAAACAGCAGAGGGGTAATAGTTAGCTTGCTCTATTAGCTTGCTCCACCTCAGCCTGGCCTAACAGATGCTACGCTCAGAGCCTGGAAACTCCACCCTGAGCCACAATCAGGCATTGGTCTCTTAAGGTTGTGACTCAAATGTCACCTTCTAATTCTTCCACCCCTTCCACAGCTCTGTCTGAACCTTTAGCTTCGAGGGCGGGGCTTTGTTGGTCTTGCCTTCTATGAGTTTCCGAGCACTTGGAACAGGGTCTGGACCTGCAGTGCTCATCAACATTCGCTACGCAGGCGACTCCCAGGATGTCTCAGAGACTGGTCTCATAGGCCCATCGTGCAAGCTTCTAACAGACGGCCAGAGGCCTGGGATAGACCTAGGAGCAGTTCAGTTCCCAGGGGAAGGGGCCTAGTGTAGGACAGGCTGTTTCAGGGTACTGTGAGGCAGGCAGAAGGGTGAACCCACCGTGCTGATATGAAGAGCGATGTTCTCTGTGTCTGTCTGCTCATCCTGTTCCGAGGAGTCTGTCTCTTCCATCTGCTGGATCTCCAGCTCAGAGGGGAGCAAGGCCGTGAGGTAGGGGATGGTGAAAGGTCTGGCAGCAATCACTGGGGATTGGAAGAGAGAGACAGGATTCTGTCAAGCAGCCAGAGGGAGCCAGGTACAAATGCTGCCCGGTGACCATGACCTGGAGCTAGTTAATTCCCCTTTCCCACAAGCCTCTATGTTCTGCAAAGACAAAGCTAAGGATTGCTAACTCACAGGTCTGGATGGGCTGCCTGAGGGAAACTTTTAGCACCTGGGGCCTCCAGCCACAGTGACTCTAGAGCCAGGCACACAGCAGGCACCGAGTGGAAGCTTCCTGAATGACTAGACCAAGCTCCCCATTCACCTCTGCATAACCCGAGGTCCCCTATGGAGATGACTGACTTGGTCAACAAAGCCTAAATGAGATGTAACCCAAGAAAGGAAGCTGAGAGGCAACTGGCTGCAGATGCCAGTGTCCCTCCTACCAGCTGCCCAGGGCTCAGCCACCAGTGAGGTAACCTAAACTCACTGCCTTGAGCAGCCAACAGTTCGGAATATATCTCGGGGCCTGGAGGAAGGATCCAGAGATCTGCAGAATAAACTGCACTAGAGATAAACACAAAGGCTCACTCATCTCTCCCCACCACAGAGAAAAAGGAAAGAGGGTGTGATTATCTCAAACAACAAAACAGGCTCCCACAAGGGGTGACTCTCACAGGGGAAAGTGCTGACGTCATCCTTGAAAAGACTCTGGGTCTCGCCCGTCTTGGCCATGAACCGGGTGAGGGCTCGCTCCACGTCTCGCCTCTGAGATGCAGCCTTCTCTCGCAGGACCTGGTAGTCAGACACCGGTTCACGGTACGTCTAGAACAACAGAGACACCAGGCTGAGCCTATGCCGCCTTCAATCTCCTCAGGCCCGGTCTAGCTGCAGCTGTGTCCTTCTGAGAACACGACCTGCTAACTAACATGGAGGGAAGCTATGTGAAGATCGGCATGGGAAGAAAGCAGAGCGAGCATCTCAGCCAACAAAAGTGCAAATATTTACCACATAGTTCACCACGGCAGCCAGCCGTAGGTGTAACACACAGATCCTCCAGGAAGACTAGGAGCCCCAAGGAGCCCTGACAGGGACCTCTGTTCTCCCAGAGTAACTTGGCATCCTAGCGTATGAGTGGTGGCATTTGCACTCTGTGCCGTCCTCTTGTTTTCAACCCACCCTCTCGAAACTAGACTACTGGTGTGGTGCCCTAATCCAATCACCCATCAGGCAGATCTCAGTGAGGTCAAGGCCAGCCTGGTCTAACAAAGGGGAGGGAGGGAGGAAGAGAGAGGGGGAGAGAAGGAAGGAGGGAGGTAGAGGGAGAAAGAAGAGAGGAAAGGAGGGAGGGGAGGAGGGAAATGAAAGGCTGAGGGAGGGCGGCCTGTAGACAGTGGTGTTCATCATGTGCATAAAGGCGAAGCAACTCCCTGCACACCACACACACACACTCTGTGGGTGACTGCACGCCCTCACAGAGAAATTAAAAGTCATTTTCTAAAAAGGAAAGAAAAACAGACTAAGGCTGTTACTGTAAATGCCACTGAGACGGCCGAGGACAGGCGACTCCTCCCAGTTGGTGCCTTGTTGGCCATCTCTGGAGAAATGCTCAAGAACCCGTAAGAATGAGAGACTGTCAAATGTCCTAAACTGTAATGTCAGGGATGACATTTAACACTGACCAAAATAGCAAAGGCATGTTTTCATGACAGAAAGGCAGGTTTTTCCCTCTAAAGACTTATCAAGGGCTGGAGAGTTGGCACAGAGGTTAAAAGCACTTTTGTTCTTGTAAAGGACCTGGGTTCAAGTCCCAGTCCCACAGGGAGGCTCACCACTTTCTCAGGCACCAGGCATGTATGTGATACACAGACAAACACACACGCAAAAACCTCATATACACAAAATAAATCTAAAAATTAAAATAAGGTTTTTCAAAGATTCCCCCTGGTGTTGGAGGTCCTTCTGTCTATATGTTGCTTTTATTGGTTAATGAATAAAGAAACTGCTTTGGACCTATAGCAGGACAGAACTTAGGTAGGGGGGGACGATGGAACTGAATGTTGGGAGGAAGAAGGCAGAGTTGGAGAGATGCCATGGAGCCGCCAGAATCAGACATGCCAAATCATTGCCGGTAAGCCACTGCCATGTGGCAATATACAAATTAATAGAAATGAGTTAAATTAATATAAGAGTTAGCCAATAAGAAGCTAGAACTAATGGGCCAAGCAGTGTTTTTTTTTAAATATTTATTTATTTATTATGTATACAATATTCTGTTTGTGTGTATGTCTGCAGGCCAGAAGAGGGCACCAGACCTCATTACAGATGGTTGTGAGCCACCATGTGGTTGCTAAGAATTGAACTCAGGACCTTTGGAAAAGCAGGCAGTACTCTTAACCACTGAGCCATCTCTCCACCCCCCAAGCAGTGTTTTAATTAATATAGTTTCTGTGTGGTTATTTTGGTTCTGGGTGGCCGGGACAAACAAGTGGCCTCCTCCTCCATCCCCCCACCCCCAGTCTTCTAGTACTAGAATTATAAGTATGTAACACCCCACCTGGCCTGAGCAGCTTGTTTTGAAGATGTATTTTATTGTGTATATGTGCATTGCTTGTGCAGGTGCCTGAGGAGGTCAGAGGCATTGGATCCCCCGGAGTTGGAGTTACAGATAGCCGTAAGATACCTACTGTAGGTGCTAGGAGCCACACTTGGGTCCTCTGGAAGAGCAGTATGTGTTCTTACACTGAGCCATCTCTCTAGTCTCCCACAGAGCATTAAAAGGAGGCACTTGGGAACATGGTTACTGTTTTACAGTCCACTGAATTGTGTCATTTACAATCTTCCTTATCACACATAGGAACAGGATTTCCTGACAAGTCTAAAATCATCCTAACATGAAAATCAGATTTTGAATATGTGCATTAAAAACAGAATCTGGGCATAACGGTACATACCTGTAATGCCAGCACTGGGGGGACCACAGGCAGAATAATGACTACAAGTTCAAGGCCAGCCTCATCTACAGAATGAGTTTTAAGCCAGCCTATAATGAGTTTTAGGCCAGTCAGGGTTACAAAGTGACACCCTGACTCAAAGCAAAAAACTAAGCAACCAAAATGTTGTAGTTATTTCAATGACATCTGACACTCAGTAAGTTGAAATTTTTTTTTAATATTTAATTATTTATTAAGCATACAATGTAGTGCTGGCAAGGAAGGCACCAGGTCTCATTACAGATGGTTGTGAGCCACCATGTGGATGCTGGGAATTGAACTCAGGACCTCTGGAAGAGCAGCCAGTGCTCTTACCCTCTGAGCCACCTCTCCAGCCCAGTAAGTTGAAATTTTAATTGATTAATTGATCTATCTATCTATTTTGGATTTTTTTTTTTTTTTGGTTTTTCGAGACAGGGTTTCTCTGTGGCTTTGGAGCCTGTCCTGGGACTAGCTCTGTAGACCAGGCTGGTCTCGAACTCACAGAGATCCGCCTGCCTCTGCCTCCCGAGTGCTGGGATTAAAGGCGTATGCCACTATCACCTGGCAAAATTAAAAATTTAATTTTTAAATAAAAAACTTTTATCTATTTTATGTGTGTGTACTGGGAGTACAACTTCTGTTTTTTATAATTTATTTATTTATTTTTTAATTTTATGTTCATTGATGTTTTGCCTACATGTAGATTTGTGTGAGGGTGCTGGGTCCCCTAGAACCAGAGTTATAGACAGCCGTAAGCTGCCACGTGGAAGCTGTGAAATGAACCTGGGTCCTCTGGAAGAATCGCTGAGCCATCCCCCCAGCCCTAGGAGTTTAACTTCTATAGGCTAGGCCAAGTGTTTTGCCACTGAGCTACTACCCTAGGCCCTAGCTTTGAAGATTTTATTTTATTTATTAATGTGTAGATGAAGGCGGGAGAAGAAGGAATAGAGAAGGGGTGAGGGGGAAATGCTCACATCCATGCAAGTACCTGTAGAGGCCAGAAGAGGATGGCAAATCCCCTGGAAGCCAACTGCCCAACATGGGTACTGGGAATTGAACTCCATTCTTCTGAAAGAGCAGCAAGCACTCTTAATTGCTGAGCCATCTCTCTAGCCCTGTTTTTGTTTGAGACAGGGATTCACTAGCCCTGGCTGTCCTGGGATGTAATAGAGATCCTCCTGCCTCTGCCTCCCAAATGCGATGAGTAAAGGCCTGTGCCAGCACACCTACTCACAGGTTCTGGATGTAGCTTTTTCAACAAGGAGAACCATTAAAGAATTTAAAATGGCCAGGTGGTTTTCATTCCAGCCCTTGGGAGACAGAGGAGGAGGATCTCTAGGAGTTCAGGGAATCAGAGTGAGTTCAGGGACAGTCAGGGTTGTTACACAGAAAAACCCTGCCCCCCCACAAAAAAATTAAAGTAAACTGACCTAAAGATTGAACTTGGGATTTAATATCCTACACCAACATTTCAGAAAGAAAAGCAGAGGCCACAGCAAGGCTCCCACCCAAAAGGTTACAGGTTTTTTCTGGACTTGTTTTTTTAAAATAAGGGTGAGGTTATTTGGCACTGCCACCAGCAACTGTTCACCACTGCGTTCACATCACTCACAGCCCCTGGCAGCTCCACCACTCACCGGAGTTTTGATGTAGGTGTGGGGATCTGGAAACTCAGGAAAATGGCTGGGGATGTGTGGTGGGTGGGGTCGGTTCTGCCCTGCAGTGAGGGCCTTGGGTGTTACTGGCTGATTGGTCACCGGAGCTGCAACAGAATCACAACGGTTACTCTCCAACCCTGCATTCCACAGACGACAGTCCCGTTCAAACCCCTCCTGTCACTGGACCGTGACTAAGCACCTTGCTCTTCACTGATAAAAGGCCTTCCAGAACCTTTTCAGATCAGCCCTGCCAGGTAATCTTGCTTGATATTTCAATCTGTGACAATCCGCCTGTAAGCCCCTTGCATCAACAGAAGAGTGGCCGTCACCAAGCCACCGCATGAAAGAACACACTGAAGTTCATTAAGGGCATTAAAGAGGCTGCTGGCTATCTTTCCAGGGACCGCGAGGGCACTAGGAACAGTGTTCAGTGCAGCTTTTACTCGGCATGCAGGAGGCCCTGAGGTCCAATCCCCAGCACATACACACTGTTCAGAGACCCCAAATAACAAATATTGAGCTGGGGAAAGTGTGGGCTTAACAACTACAGGGTGGGAAGGGAAATGGTGCTTTCTACTGCCTCTCTCCAATGCAGGTGGCAAGATGGTGACCAAGCCAATCGCCAGGACCCACATGGTGGAGGGAGACAGCCTCACAAAGTTTCCTCTGATAGTCACATGCACACACACAGTAAACAGATGCAGTATCTAAAAAGATGCCAATGCAAAAGAGTAACTTTAAAAGACAAATACAGCAATTCACCCCAAGTCCTAAAGCAGTTACTCCTTACTTAGCTTAAGTGACCTACTTATCTAAAGCAGAATTAACCTTCTCAACAGGGATATGTTAGACATAGTTCTTTTGTTTGCTTGTTTTTTGAGCCAGCATCCTGCCTGTGTAGCTCAGGTTAGCCTGGTCCTTATTATGCATCCCCAGTGCACTAGAGCTCTAGAGCACCCCTCACCCTCACGAGTAGCCACCAAAGAGCAGCAGTTCGGATGGTGCAAGCCACAAAGCTGCCTTTAAAACATGAAAGCAGGGCTGGAGAGATGGCTCAGCGGTTAAGAGCATTGCCTGCTCTTCCAAAGGTCCTGAGTTCAATTCCCAGCAACCACATAGTGGCTCACAACTATCTGTAATGGGGTCTGGTGCCCTCTTCCGGCCTTCAGGCATACACGCAGAAAGAATATTGTATACATAATAAACAAATAATTAAATAAATAAATATTTACGAAAATAAATAAAACATGAAAGCAATGACAGGTAAGTGGGTACAGCTGCACGCCAATGGAACTTTATTCACAAAAGCAAGCAGTGGACCACATTTTGCCCACAGACCCTAGTTTGCCAACTCTGATCTGCAGAAGCAAGAACTTTTATAGTCTTCTCGTATTGCATCTGCTCTTCAGGGCTGCAGTACAACAGCAGGAGCTCAGAAATGGTTTAGCTGTGTGGAGACGAATCTTCACACTGTAATCCCACTGCCCAGATCAAATCAGGCTGTGGGTGGTTAACCCCTCCCAAAGACTGGAAAGGAGCCTGCAACAAGAACAGCTGCCACTCTGAGGTCTACCCTATCTCCAACACCTGAGTACTCACTAAGTGCCTGGGTTCCAAAGCCACTTACGTGCAGTGATGACCATCCTCTGAGACCGTTTTGCATAAGCAGGAAGAGTGTCCACATTGAACCCTGGGGACAAGAAAGACAATCACTGCCTAGGCCCGTGAGTGAATACAAAAGGGACGTTCACAGTGGGGAAAGGAGGCTTAAGCTCCCAACTTAGCCACTATTCTGCCCCTTAAAAGATGCTCCACAGAGTCCTCCAACAAGGACTTAGGGGTCTCTTCCTCTTAACTTCCTAAGCTAAAAGCAGATCAAGGGAAACAGGAGGGAATCCATGAACACTCAGCAGACACCCCAAGCACCAGGCTTTCCTCCCTCCCTAGTGGCCCCAACTCAGAGATGAGAAAGCAGGAGATGCTGGAGATGCGCTCACCCATTTCAACCAGTGTGACCACGATATCCGACAGTGTGGGCTGGGTCCTGGCTGTGTGCTCGCAGTAAGACTTGGCACTTCTCCCGATTTCTGAGATGTCTACGAGGGTCAAAGGTCACAGTTCCTCCCAAATTCAACATAGGGTTACCAGTGAGTCACAGTTCTACTCTACATACACACCCCACGAGCAAAGGCAGGGCTCAAACAGCACTGTGTACACTCCACATGGTAGCCCAATTCTCAACAGTCAGAAGGTGGAAGGAGTCTCTCCAGTGAGACTCCAGTGGATAAACCAACTGGGGCACACACATCACATGGAGCACTGACGCTTGTTCTCACAGGTTTCCAGATGGCCAGCTGTTCTGGCCTCTACTTCTCCAGGGCTAGGGTTATAGTGCGCCCACCCTATCCAGCTCTACAACGGGGTATGTGTTCAGCCCTCAAAAGGAAGGAAATCTATAACATGGGTAAACTTTGAAACACTGTGTTAAATCACATAAGCCAGGCACAAAAATGACAAGTAAAAATTTTCAGATTCCATTTATCTGAAGTAAAGAGAAAAAGCAAATAAAAAGCAAAATCAAAATGGCTCAATGGTAAAGGTGTTTATTGCCAACAACAGGAGTTCCATCCCTGGGTCTCATAGGATGGAAGGAGCACACTGATTCCCACAAGTTATCCTATGACCTCCATATCTGTGCTATGGCAAGCATACAGTCCCCACCATACACACAACCAATAAGAGTAATTTTTAAAAGGATATGGTATACACATACACACACACACACACACACACACACACACACACACGTGCTGGTTTGAAAGAAAATGGCTCCCCAATGGAGTGGCACTATTAGGTGTGACTTTGTTGGGGTAGGAAAGGCCTTGTTGGAGGAAGTGTGTCATTGTGGAGAGGGCTTTGAGGTCTCCTATGCTCAAGCTACTCCCAGTGTCACAGTCCATGTCCTGTGCCTGCAGTATCAAGACGTAGCCAGCACCATCATGTCTGCCTGCATGGCACCATGCTCCCAGCCACAACCATAATGGACTGAACCTCTGAAACTGTAAGTGACCCCAATTAAATGTTTTCCTTTATAAGAGTTGCCGTGGTACAGCACTGTGAGTGCACACTTAATGCCAATGATTAAATGACAATATTGCTACATATCTCTTACCACACATACAAACATCAAAACAAACAGGTCCTATGCTACAATGGACGATTTTTTTTCTTCTGTCTGAAGGTAAGCCTCGGCCTTCCAAGAAAAGGGGGGCAGTATCTAAGATGAGAGTTTCTGAAGCTGGGCTCTCGGTACTCACAGCTCTGCAGCATCTCTGTCAGTGTTTCCACGGACGCTTTCTCCGCACTCTCAAATCCGGCCTCGGTCAGCAAGGAGCTCACAACCACTTGCAGAGTCCTCCTCCGGGCCAGATGGTAGTTATCAGCAGGGTTAGTGGACTGCTTACTTCCTGGTCTCTGGAAGCGGAAGCCCACAAAGAGGAGACTTTTTACCGCTAGGCCAGGATGAAAGCACAGAGTGCACACACCATCGATGGCAAACAGAAGTCTCAGTGCGTAGTTCACTCGGGCTGGCCTATTGCTGGATGTGTAGCCCAGGACCACACTGCCATCCTCTAACTTCCGCCTCCTCGGCATACAAATTACAGGCATGCAGCAACTGTGGCCTGGCTAGCAAAGGTTCTCCTGCTAAATATTTATCAGTGTCTGATACTTAGAATTACAGATCTCACCAAGTGAGTAATAACTGAGCATCCAAATCCAGAGGCTTCCAATAAGAGAAACACTACTTGCTCAAAAAAAAAATTATGTGTAGATATGTGTGGTGTGTGTGTGTGTGTGTTCATGTGAGTGCAAGTGTTTCAGGAAGCCTGGAGAGAGCGTCGGATTCCATTATGCTGGAGTTACAGGTGGTTGCAAAACGACCCACCGAACTCGAGTGTTCTGGAAGAGCACCTGCAGGTCTTAACCACTAAGCCATCTCTCCAGCCCCTTCACTTCTTTCTAGAGCAAATTATCAGAATATACACACAAGTCGGGTAGTGGTGGTGCACACCTTTAATGCCAGCACTTGAGAGGCAGAGGCAGGAGGCTCTGTGTGTCGGCCTAGTCTACATCTACAGAGCGAATTCCAGGTAGCCAGGGCTGTTCCACAGAGAAATCCTGTCTCGGGGGGGGGGGGACAAAAAAAGGAATATATACACGAATTATGAGACTGGACTAATAAATCTACTGTCTTTTGTTCCATCCACACCACTTCATTAACACGGAAAATGAAAACAGCAACACCGGACGCAGAGGAGGGCTAAAGTAACCTCAAAGAAAGGCGAGGAAGGTAAATATTTTGAAAAGGAACCCCCTCCCAACTTTAGCTGGCCAGTAAGAGGATGAAAACAGCCTCTTCAGACCAATCAGAAGGCGTTCCGGGTTCCCACCTGGGAACGAGCCAATCACGTCTCAGGTGCACCAATTTAGGAGGCCGCCGCCAAGTCTCTAGCAGCGGGGGACGCAATTGGCCAGGAAGACTGAAAACCATCGGATTTCAGAATGGGTTTGGGTTTCTCGGTCCGAGATTGTGGCCCAAACCATGGAAAAGATCCAGAAGAGCCAAACCCTCTCGACTTTACCTCGCGCCTCCCTACCCTTACCGTTCCAGAGCCACCAGGCCCGGCCGCCGCGTCGGCCATCTTGCTCTCACGTAGTGCGCGTGAGCGCGAGGCACGATGGGACTTGTAGTTGGGGTGGGAAGGTGGCGAAAGGCGGGGCCACAGGTGCCCCGCCTCGCGGAAAAGCTCTAAGAAATGTGGGGGGCGGAAGGGATAGGTCGGACTACCCCAGCTCTTGTGACTCTGTGTGAGCCAAGGTTTCCTGGACCTTTAGGCGCTATGGCAATGGCTCTGGAAAACACTCTGTGGGTTACACCGAGTTAAAAGGAACCTTTTTTGGCTAGAAGCCAGCCATCTATAATCCTACCACCTTGAGACTGAGCCTAAGGATTGGGAGTTCCAGGCAAGTTTGGGACTACATAAGGAGACCTTCCCTGTCAGAAAAATAAGTAGATAGTAAAAAGAAAGCTGTTGAGATGAAATAATTTCTTATTAAAAATACACTTTCGTTTTTGTTTTTTGTTCCCCCCCTCCCCCCCGAGATTGGGTTTTCTGTGTAGTTTTGGAGCCTGTTCTGGCACTAGCTCTGTAGACCAGGCTGGTTTTGAACCCACAGAGATTCACTTGCCTCTGCCTCCCTGCGCCTCCATTCCCGGCCATGTTTAATTATGCATTTGTTTTTGTTGTTTGTTTTGCAAGACAGGATTGTCTCTGTAGCTTTGGAGCCTGCCCTGGAACTAGCTCTTTTAGACCAGGCTGGCCTCGAACTCACAGAGATCCTCCTACCTCTGCCTCCTGAGTGCTGGGATTAAAGGCGTGCGCTACCACCATCCAACTAAGAACACACTTAATAATGCACTTTTGAGGGCTGGAGAGATGACTCGGCCACTAAGAGCACTGACTGTTCTTCCAGAGGACCTTGGTTCAATTCCCAGCTCAATAGTTAAGAACATACACCATTGTTGGAGAGAATCAGAGTTCAAAGTCTTAGCATCCATGTTGAATGGCTCACAACTGCCTGTGACTTCAGCTCTGAGGTGATCTGATATTCTCTTCTGGCATTTGAGGGTATTCACTTGTGCAAAAATACACACACACACACACACACACAAATACAATAATAAAATTAAGTGCTTTTCTTAAAAATGCATACGTTTGTTTTATGTGTATGATCATTTTGCCGGCATGTACCTCTGTGAACCCCTTGCATGCCTGGTGCCAGAGAAGGCCAGAAAAGGACTTTGCTTAGCCTAGAACTGGAGTTGCAGACTGTTGTGAGCTGCCAGGTAGGTGCTGGGAATTGAATCCGGTGTTTCTTTAACTGCCGCAATATCTCTCCAGTCCTTAAAGGCACATCTGAAAAGGTTCTAGAGGCTGAGTGCATTAGCAGTGACCTCACTCTCTCAGAGAGGGCCTTCATACCGGTTGTTTTGTGTGAGCCTGTGTTGTATGTAGCCTGGCTATGTAGACTTGCTACATAGCTGAGGATGACTTTGAACACTGTGGTGGTTTGAATATGAATGGGCCACATAGGTTCATATATTTGAATGCTTAGTCACCAGGGAGCCGCACTATTTGAGAAGTATTAGGTATGGTCTTGTTGGAAGATGTGTCAAACTGCGGGTGGGCAGTGCTTCTCTCTCTCCCCTCCCCCATCGCTCCCCCTTCTCTTTCTCTCTGCCTGCCGATCAGACATAGTGTGGTGTTTTCACCCTCACGTATGCTGCTATGCTCCCCACCAGTGGGGATGACTGTGGACCAACCCTCTACACCTACAAGCAAGCCCCCAACTAAATGCTTTCTTTTATAAAGCTGTTGTGGTCATGGTATCTCTTCACAGCTATAGAACAGAGATGAAGACAGACCCTCCCCAGATTATCCTACCTTCCCGATAAACCTTCTCCAGAGTGCTGGGGTTACTGGAATCCACCACCATACTCCATTTACACAGTGCTGGGGGAACTCAGGGTTTTCTTACATGCTAGGCAACTACTCTGCCAGCTGAAGCTTTACTCTCATTACCAAGCTCCTTGCGATTCCCGGCACTATCATCTCTAGCCCTCAGCCTGCGACTGCTAAGTGAACGAGGAAGCTTGTCTCTTGTCCCTCCCACTTCCAGTATGTTGAGTCCGTTTTACCAACTTCAGCCTCTCTGGACTGGAAATTCCTCAGGAGAGACCTTGCCTCTTCTCATCCCTTCTGGCGGGGCGGGGCGGGGGGGGGGGGGGGGGGAGGGAAGCCTGGCCAGATGAAATCACTGAGCTTCAGTCCTTACACACAGGTGACTCAGGTGACTCTGGCCACATTATCTAACCTCACTGTGCCTCAGTTTCCCTGCGTGATAACTGGGGGTGGAGTGAGGTAACAGGTGTTGCAGCGCCTGGCTGTGTGGTAAGAGTTAAGAACTCAAACCTGCTGCTTACTTCCTGAGTAACGTGCACCACGAATTGCAGACGCCCAGAAGGCATCCTCTGGAGTGTGTACACCTGAACTTGGCGAAGCGGCACTGCGCCTCCCACCACCACTACCTGGGGCCGAGGATCAGGTCTGTAGACCTCCGGTGGAGTACAGATTAGAGCTGGATAAGCCTCTCCTGTCTGCTCTGGGGGTGTCAGGGACCAAACCCCAGCGGAGCGCAGCACCCAGCTCCTTTGTCTCGCCCGCCCCCTCGTCCCCACTTCCTGCCCAGCTTCTAGCTAGTGATCTGCGACGCGGTGCAGACTTTGTAAACACGCCGCGCCTGTGGGATGGACACTCGCTCTGTTTGGGTGCTGCGGAGTGCACGCCCCTGTCCTGTCCGTGGCTGGCGGCTGTGATCACTCCTACTGCCCAATAACAGATGTCCAGCAGCGGGAGAGAACGTGAGGCTACCGTCAGAGCTCCGGGGGACTCATCTGCCAAGAGGTAGGCTTGGGGAACTGGAGAAGCCAGAATAAGTGTGACGTTCGCATCGGCTGCTTTGCCTGGATGTCACTTAGAGTCCAGGTTGGAGACCTGGAGGTGGAGAAAGCAAGTGGGTGGTGAGAGGACGGGGGACTCTAACAAGTGGGTTCAATCGGTCATCGCGCCGCTCTCCCCTCGGTTTTGGCCCCAAAAGCTTAGTTCACTTTCCCACTGAGTGTGATTTTTTTCACCGGAGAAGTCCCCAAAGCCTTGAGCCTCCTAAACGCGTGTGCATCCTCACAGCTACCCGTCCAGGCTGATGTGCAAGCCCGAGGGTTTAGCAGCATACATCAGCTTTAGAGGTCGGAGGGCCAACCAGTATGTGTTTGAGTCAGCCAGAGCCAAAAAAGGGGGCCAAAAACTAGAACTTTACAGACGGTTCCTGAGGAGCTGATGTGTACCTGGTCTCAGCCGTATGCGTCTTCTAGTGTAGACCAGAGAGTAACTGAAGGCGGGCACTGCTGTTGCAGGGAGGCAGTGTTCATTGGCACTGGCTGTGCACCTACTGTGTGCTGGATACTGTTTCTGTTTGCGGCTGACTATCTCAGCCACTGCTGGTGTTGGTCTCAGGTATGACAGAGATGCCTGGGAGGCTGGGAAGGGGACATCTGGGTTGGGTTTCAGAGGATGATTGTTGACCTCAGAGAGAATCTGGTGGGAAGTCTTGGAGGTACTTACTCTCCAGAGGTAGACTGAATCAGAATGGTTTACTGGGCACTGAGATATACTGGTAACTGGAAAACAGTTCCTGCCTGTCCTGTCCTCACTCACTTCCAGGCATAAGGAAGTGGGAATAAACAGGAGCAGAGCTGGAGCCCCTGAATCCAGTTGTGCGCAGCTGGAGGGTGCCCCTGGGGGTGATAGGACACCCACTCCCCATCCTGGGCCCCAGGACTGTTTTTTCCAGCAAGCCCTGTCCTTTGTCCATCACCACAGCGTCCTGTGGGACTGGTCCTGGGTGGGGAAGTGGTTCTTCGGCTTCTCTCCCGAACGCCCTAGCACAGCAGGTTACACAGTCATTTAGCATCTTCTCATGTAGCCACACTCTGCCGATGTTGGGGACATCATGGAGTAAAATCAGAGTTTCAAGCCAGAGACTGGAAATGGAAGGCATCTCTGATCATTCCATTAGGGCTCCAGTCCATGTTTAACCCTTGAGCCCATGGGCATGGCCTTAATGGTTCCAACCTTTTTCTTGTGTGTTTCTCTTCATAGATGCTAGCACAGAGGTACATAGCACCTTCAAGGGGTTATGCTGTTTGGATGTAGCATCTCATTTAATACCTCTGATAGCTGTATTCAATCATCAACTAGTATTAGCTCCATTTTATAGAGGAGGAAGCTTGAACACAAGAGGTAAAGAGAGCTCCTTAAAGAGGGAGCAAGAACTGAATGTCAGGGAGCTGGAGAGATGACTCAACCGTGAACAGCACTTACTGCTCAAGAAGAGGACCCAGGTTTGCTTCCTAACACCCACACAGTAACTCACAACTACCCATTTCCAGGGGTTCTGATGCCCTCTCCTGGTCTCTGCAGGAACCAGGCATGACCACGGTACATATACACACATGTAGGCAAATGCTCATACACATAAACAAAATAAATAAATCCTTTTTAAAAAGTAAAGAAATAGATGTCAAGCTGGGTGGTGGTGGTGCACACTTATAATTCCCAGCACTTCAGAGGCAGGGACAGACAGAACTCTGTCAGTTCAAGGCCAGTCTGGTCTACTGAGTGAATTCCAGAATAGCCAGGGCTACACAAAGAAACCCTGTCTCCAAAAACAACAAAGAGAAGAGAAGAAGAGAAGAAGAAGAAGAAGAAGAAGAAGAAGAAGAAGAAGAAGAAGAAGAAGAAGAAGAAGAAGAAGAAGAAGAAGAAGAAGAAGAAGGAGAGAGAGAGAGATAGATATGGGATATCAGAAAGGGGCCTTAAATCCAACTCACTTGAGTTGGGAGATGTGTTCTTTCCTCTGAGACAGGGACTTGCTGTTAGCCCAGGCTGTCCTCCAACTCCCAATCTTGACCTGATCTCCCAAGGGCTAGGATGAGAGATACCCATCACCACATCCAGGTCAGAGTCCCTGCTCTTGGCCTGCTTAGCATGCAGCTGAGCGTGTGCTAGCTAAAGGAAGTCTGGGTTTACACAGACACCAGCACTGTTCACAGAGTCCCCTGAAGGTCTGCTCAGGATTCTGGGGGCAGC